AGAGATCGAGGAAATATACGGAGAACCAACAATCACGAAGATAATCAGAGCACAGAGACTAAGATGGCTAGGCCACGTCGGAAGAGCACGAGAGGAAAGGACAATTGGGAAAGTATTAGACCGCCTAAAAGGAGGAAAGAAAAAGAGAGGAAGGCCAAAACTGAAGTGGATAGACGATGTTCGAAAAGATCTTCAAAACTTAGGCATTGAAGATTGGAGATCCAAAGCAGCCGACAGGAACAAATGGAAAATTATTGTTAAAAAAGCCCAGGGCCTTTAAGGCCTGCAGAGCTGAGTTATATATATATAAATTTAAAACATCTGCAAGATTTCAAAGCATTCGTTTTGGCAGATTTAAAATTAAATTGCAAAATGTTGTTTTATAATTTTGATTCTTTTGTGTTTGGACGTTTCGGGTAGAAACTTAACACGGCGTCATAAACTGCATGTGTAGAACTATGTTATTTTATACAATTTAAAACCCATTTACTATGTGTAATTTATTTTAGTTAATAGCATTTAACCATTTACATAATATTTCTAATATACATACAAAATTTGACAACAATCGGTCCAGTAGTTTCGGGAATTACGTGTCTAATAAAAATCAATACGGACAGCAGACGGACAGACAAACTCTAAGGGTCATGAAACATCGAGAAAATATAAAAGTGGACATTCGTCCGATGGACTCGATCACAGTACTCGTAATTTTTTAGCTTACGCTCGGGAAGTAATACATTCAGGGAAGAAAGCATCTAGCAAAGCCTTTTCTGGATAAAGCTTTATTACATTGTCTGAAAAGCTGAGCTTTACTAGAGCACTGTCGAACAGAAAACCGGATCGATTGATGGCGCTGTTAGATGGTGCTTTCAAGTTGTAGAATTCTACACGGACTCGATGTTTGGCTTTATAAAATTCGAACTAATATTTAAACCAAAATTTAATTTTTATCGGTGGATTCTGCTTGCCAAAACTGTATAAGATAAACAAGGTACGTTGAAACTTGTGCCACCATCTGAGACAATAATTTAATTATTATATGAGAAAAATTACGAGAAGATTATAAAGAGCATGTCATCAAAACCATGTGGAACTCTACTGCGAAAATGTTGCCAGGAAAATGATTTTCTAAATATGGCATCATTTTTGAAACTTTGTCCGATATTATGTTCAAGGACGCAAAAGATGCCAGAAGAAAATCCTAAAATAATTTATAACAAATTGTGTTTTCGATAGTAGATCTTTTTAATTGTTAAAAATGTTGTTTTTGTGTTTGATTAAAAAAATGTTTTCAATTTTGTATTTTTCACATTTTCTAATTCTAACGACTAAATTTATTTGTGTTTAGTATGAGATTCACCTTTCTTTCATTCGGAGCAGATGAAATCAATCACTGAAATGGAGGCGGGGTGGGTGGGCGGGGTCAATTATATGTTCTTCTGCAGAGTGAGAGTGAGAACAAATCGAACCTAGATTGTAAAAAAAGTAAAAAAAAACGCTAATCGTAACTCCTTTTGTTGTACTACAGGGTTTTTATAAGTGATTCTCAGGGTGTAGTTGGCTATGGATTTAAAAAATCCGGCTTCTCTGAAATTATGCCTCACTATGACAGTTCACAATTGGCATTAATGTCATTTGCGACCTGTCATTTAAAGATCATCGTTTTTATTGTTTTAACGTTTCTCAAGTGTGAATTACAGTTGATTCAAGCTCAAAACAATAAAAGAAAAAATTCTTGTGTCTCATAATTGCAATGGGACATTCGTAAACGGAGAGTGTGTGTATTCTGTAACTGCTTGTAAGCAAGAATATCTGGCCAAATACCGTGATTTGAAAATTCAAGAAACATCGTTAGAGGCTCGCATTAGAGATATAATCAACAGATTTCTTGGAACTGGGAGTGTCGACAGGTCCAGAAGGAGCCCGTTCTGAAGGAAGTCGTCGTCCAGAAAGAAACGACTGTGCCAGACGAGTTATTATTTTTCTTGTTTTATTTTGCACTGTAGTTATTTAATACTTAGCCACAAGATTTATTATTTTAGACCTGTAGCTGGTGGCAGGGAATAAATCCGATTATTATTTAAAACAATCCTTGCCGTTTTATTTTATTTTCGTGTTTTCGCGGGCGCTCACCACCTGAGATCCGTGTCTCCGGCTTGAGAGCCACCCCGGCGCTACCTCCCCTGGAGAGGGAGCTATAAGACTAAGTCGGCCAGATGTGTTTCTTATATCAGCGGCACTAGTCGGCCCAAGACTTGGCACCCAGGTACGTCGCCACACACGTTATCGGCGAGATTCTGGAACGTCCGTCACAGCGGAATTTCGTCGCAGTATCTGAGGAAGTTAGTTATTGATGATTTGAGACGACTTGAGCAGAATCCGCAAACATCTTTGACAAGATTTCCTCAGCAGTCAAGAGTTTCTGCAACACAATACAAAGTAGTGACCAACGGATGTTACAGACGATTTTTGAAATTAAAAATGAATATCTGCCTTGAACAAAATGGTGAACATTTTCAACATTTACTGTTATGTTAATAATAACCGCGATAAATTTGTTTAATGACTTAGTTTTATGTTTTAGTAAAATGTAAAACATGTAGGCAACCAGTTATACAGATGCGTGTGGTATTTATCCTGAGTCCGTGGCCATTTAGTAAAGTTCAAAATTGAGGGGCGGCACATTTTCACGACCTACCTATACCCTATATTCATTTATAGAAACCCTGTATTTGCTATGAGAATTATTTATTATTTCAGAAGAAAAAAGAGAGAACGGGTGGGTGGGCGGGGCTAAGTTTAAGATTTTGCTGGAGAGTCTTTCACGAGCATAAGCATCAAGCCCACCCACCCACCCCCTCTTCATTCTGGTGACTACTCTTAACACTGTTAATTAATTACAAGAAAAAATAGGGAAAAGATGAAAGCGAAAATGTTAAAAGAATTTAATTGGATATGTTAGGGGACAGACGGTGCAATGAAGAAAGCAAGACCTAAAGGGACAATAATAATGGATGCAATATAAGAAAGAGAAAAATTGTAAAGATGAACTGCAGTGAAGAAAAAGGATTAATGACAAAGAAAAAATTAAAGAAAAATTAAGGGAAGAGCAAGGATGGGATATTTTGAATGGAAGTTAAATTGGTGATGAGGAAGGGAAATTAAGTTATGTAAGAATGAGAGCACAATAGTGAATCAAAAAGGATGGGAAGAAGTTTCAGAGAGAAAGAGTAGACTTCCAACGTATGCGAATGGAGGTTGCGATAGAAGAATATGACAGAAAACAGGATAAAGAGAGAGATAAACCAGGAAAATGTGTGAGAATAAAATGGAATGAGTGGGGCTTAAATTTTAAGAACTAATAAAAGATGCAGAAATGAAGGTATATGTAAAAAGAAGTGGACATAGAAAAATGACTGGAGGAGTGAGATATGTTCCACTTTGGAAAGAAAAACAAGAAGGGTATTAGGAAGAGCGAAAAACCAAAAAATAACCAAAAAGAGTTTCTTAAAGCCAGAGAAACATATAGAAGTAAATGCAAAGACTGAAAAAGCAAGCAATGAAGGAAAAGCACAAAACATAAAGAAACTTAAATCAAAAATAGGAAGAGGAAATAAACTGTAAACGAAAAAATTGGAATGCAGAGACGGGAAAAACATTTCATAAAATTACTGGAGGCAACAAGAAAAGCATAGAATAAGAAAAACAAGAAACGACTGCAATACAAGAAAAAGACGAAAATTACAAAATTAAGAAGAAGTAAGAAGACAACTAGTGGACCTAAAAAAGGGAAAGGCAGCGGGGAAAAATTGGGTTCCAAATAAAGCATGGGTAAATGTACCTGACAATATTATCCGCAGAATAAAGAAATTATGAACGCGTTGTGGATGGGTGAGAACATACCAAAACAATGGAGTAAAGGGATAATATACCCGATATACAAGAAGGGAGAGGGATAACTTTGTTAAATACGAGCTACAAGTGGTATGCGATGATACTGAGAGATAGGCTAGTTGTTATTTGATAGTTTGGGTAGAAGTGTTCTAATATATGGGATAAAGATCTGGGTGTGGACAGAATTTGAGAAAGGAGAAAATCAAGAAAGATTTTTCAAATGGACACTAGAACGAGTAAAAAATAAGCCTATGGTTGTGCCTGGAAGGAAAAAGAAAGAGTGAGAAATCAATGAAATCAGACGTGGCAAGAGCTCTGTAGAAGAAATTATGATATACAGAAGCAGAAGAAGAGGGAAGACAACAACTTTTAGGTACAACTATAGATATTTAAGGATAATAGGAGAAGAATCTAACAACCAAAACCAAGTAGGAGGAAACATATTAAGTATTGCTCTAAAACTAAATCGTACTTCTGGAAACTCCTCATCTTGATTTTCAACGTGGTGTCCTTAGACATCAGTTTCTCGTTGAAGTCTATCTTCTTTTATATTCAATTTGAAATCCTCAAAATTATTGTCTAACTGTGTATTGTAGATGATCCTCAATAGCCGAAGTAGATTTTTGGTTTAATTATTATGGTTGGTAATCTTTTTGATACTGAGACATCACCATATGCTGCAATTCGTTACATTGTAGTGAACCGAGGTACAATTGAGCATTCGGTTAAGTGAAAGTCTGACAGGAGCACAATGAACTTTATTTTACTACGCTGACAAAGTAATGTTTTACTTTTTACCTGAAATGGTGAAATCACCTCATCAATATACTTACGTTTATCTAGATTTCAACGTAAGTGGTTTTCCTTACGATAAAAGAATATAATTAGATATAGATCTTGACGAATATATGGCTACTTCTAAAGTGTTAAACCACAATTTATACCGCTTGCGGATCTAGGGTTGTAAATCACGTTAAAAATAGATACTTTTATCAAATTTTTTAGATAAAAATGATTTTTTGATACGACTTAATTTTTTTGTTCTGGAGGGGAACTGAAATTATATAAAGAAAGACAACACAAACAAAGTTAGTTGAGACGTCGTCATGTTTACTTTTACAGAGCCGGTGGCACTTTTTTTAGTACTTTTAACACTAGAGAGCACTGCGAATCCGGGGCCACCAAGTAAGTATCGTTTTTTAGTTAAACATGTTTGTTCTTGAGTAAAAGATTAATCTTTAATTTATTGTCGATATATCCAATCATGGTTGAATTAGGTATCTAGTCAAACTTTGAAACTTTAGATAATTAATTACACCACTAATTTATTTTTTATTCTAGGTTGTTTCATCGATCTGGTGGATAACCCTGACAATGTATCCCCTTTGATAATAGACACCGATTACAACTTTCCTAACCCAACTAATCTAACTGGTGTCTCGATTCATTCTGGACAAAGACTCTACTGGGCCTGTCCTGGAGGCTACTTCAGCGAACCCGGTTTCAACGTCAACGGTCAGATAGCACACTGTGGAGGTGGAACTTTCCACACCGGCCAAGGACACCCCATACTATACGAAAATGTAACCTGCACTTTAGTAGACGCACTAAGACCACATTTGACAGAAATTCATATCAATCCTGGAGTGCTATGTGAACTAGGGACCAGCAGACCCATTAGCATAGGCTACAGCGTTAACCACAATTTTGTTAAAGTCCTGGACGCTTGCTTCCAAACAGACGTCAACATTCCTCTGTACACTAAATATACGTCAACCAGATGGGCATCTTTGATACCAAATCATCGAGAACCTCCAAGTCGCTATTTTTACGCCGTGGATATAATTCACGCAGATGTGGCTAACGTCTACAACGACATCAACGCTAATCTAGAAAATCTGGGACTTGAAAATTACGTTAATGATACGTTCTATTTGACAAAAGGAAGTCTTGCCTCGCAGTGGGAGTTTCTTTACACGTATCAAAGAGACGCAACTTTTGATTTGACCAACGTGGCACCCCAGTGGAACTCAGTTGGTAGTGGAAACTGGGGGGCGATAATTTCAGGAGTTCAGACGTTTTTAGAACTTGGAAGCATTGGAGATGAAGCTAAAGTTATCAGTGGGACGTTAAAAGTAGCCACCTTAACAGATTCGTCGGGTTCAGATGTAGAACTTTATTTGCTGAATGGTAAAGTTCCAGTTCCAAAGTGGTTCTGGAAGTTGATATATTTTCCAGAGTTGCATTTTGGTGCCATATTTTTCGTGTATAATAATATTTACCATGAGAAAAGTCAAGTGGATGCGGAATTTTTGGCTGAAATATGCGTCAATGATGTATTACTGGATGTGATAGCTGGATGGTCACTAGATGATATTAAGTATGATGATCAGACTGGAGGATTTGCATACGCTTGTGTTTTAAATACTGCTCAAATCCTTGACCCGGTCATACTTAAAGTTGTTGCTAATTTTTTGGCAGAAGTGGGAGTTCAAGCTGTTAATTTATTTTGACGTATTAACAATTAACTGCTACTCCTTCATAATAATGGTCCTTTTCTAATGGTGGTTGTAACGTTATATATTACTATATCTGACATAATTATATAATAGTTTCTATTGGCATTCTATGTAAAAAATGTAGCTGTTTGTATGTTTTGTGCAGCTAAAATTAATATATAAAGTCTGAAGTTAGTTCAGTTTTGTCTACATGGCAACGAACAATAAAATTTTGGCGAAGTATCAGAGATAGTTTTATTTCTCGAAAGATGTTTATAGAGAATAGTTTCGTCACCTGTAGGAAGAGGAATATGTTTAAATAGCTACCTCCCAATAAATTTAACAATTGTTGCTATGACAATATACTTTCACACGTTTCTTCAGTTTTTCCTGCTATCCACTTTCATTCCATTTTCTGTTCCTAAATCCCGTCACACCGGTTTGCATCTTTAAATGTTTACCTGGGATTACCAAGGATAAAAGGTATTATGGACTGGGTTCTAAATTTTATAAGCGAAACTACGTCAGCTGCTGCAACAAAAAGATAATACAATATGACAGGGATATAGATACCGATGTGCTGATTCCAAAAATGTAGTGTTTATGATAACGGAACAATTTTTCGGAATGTCCGGAGTCAAATTCGAATTTTTTGAAATTTCTAAAAATCAGTACATGTATTTCAGTGGGCAATTCTGGAAAAACGGTTAGAATCGTCGGAAAAATGAGACCGAAATTGACTTCTGCGGTCCAAATTCTACAAGAAAACGTGTTTAGTTAAATTTCGATAATCGTCGAAAATGGGTCGAAATTTACATAGTGGAAAATTTTATTTTTGAAAAAGCCGTCTAAAAATTCTCAAAAAATTCGTGGTTATAGATCTTGACGTACTAATTCACAAAATATAGGGTATTTAAGGTCACGGAGCAATGTTTTCGAAATATTCGGAGTGAAATTCGAATTTTTTGCAAACAATAACTGGAAATTTGCATACATAGTGGAAAATTTCATTTTTGAAAAAATCTTCAAAAAATTCTCGAAAAATTCAGAGTTATAGATCATGACGTACTGATTCCAAAAATACAGCGTGTTTAGGGTCACGAAGCAATATTTTCGGAATATTCAGTTTCAAATTCCTAAAAACTACGATATTTCAATGGCCAATTCCGGAAAAACGGTTGGCGTTATCTAAGAAATGAGCCCGGAATCTGCAAGGAAATGTATGTAGTTAAATTTCGAAAATTGTCGAAAGTGGGTCGAAATTTGCATAAGGAGGGTAAAATCAGTGAGGCAAATTTGAAAATATTTTAAAACTGAGAAACGGAAAATTAAAAAATCTAAATTTGAAAAACCGAATCGAAAAATTGAAAAACTAAAAAAAATAAAAAGCCGAAACGAAAAAATTTGAAAAAAATCTGGAACTGAAGAAATAAAAAATGAAATTATGGGAACATCGAAAATTGTCAAAATAAAGAAAATAAAAATCGGAAGGAAAAATTGGGAATCTAAAATTTGAAGAAAACAAAAATTAAAGAATCGGATAATTAAAAATCTAAAAATTCTAAAATCGTAAAATCGAAAAAGTGGAAAATTTTTAAAATTATAATTATTATTACATTGTTAAACTGAAAATTAGAAAAATCGCAATTCAAAAAATTGAAAAACCGCTAAACTGAAAAATCTAAAATTGAAAAACGAAAATTTAATAAATCTAAATTTAGAAAACCGCATAATTGGGAATCGAAAAATTGAAAAATCCAAAAATTGAGAATTGTCACATTGCAAAAAAAGGAAAATTATAATATCAGAGGACTGAAAAACCGAAAAACTGAAAAAATAAAACAATTAAAAAACTGGAACGAAAAATTGCATATCGAAAAATAGAAGAAATGAAGAATAAAAAACTGCAACATCCTAGAGTTAGAAAATTGAAAACTGAAAAATTTAAAAATGAAAACTCGTAAAAACAAAAAACATTGTAAAACTGCAAATCGAATTTTTTTACAAAACTCAAACTGAAGAAACAAAAATTCATTGAAAAATCGAAAAATTGTAAAAATGAAAAAAATAAAACAGCGAAAGGGAAAACGAAGCGAATCGAAAATTTGAAGAAATCAAAAATTAAAAAATCGAAAAATTGCAATTCTAAAAATTGAAAAATTCAGCAATTGAAAAATTTCACATTGGAAAAATAAAAATGATAAAATCAGAACATTGAGACAACGAAAAATTAGAAAAAAAGAAAATAAAAACCGAAGCGAAAAATTGAAGAAACGAAAAATTTTAAAAATCTCAAACTGAATAAACAAAAAATCATAAAATGGAAACATTGAAAAATAGAAAAACTGTAAATATAAAATAAATAAAAAACCGAAAGGAAAAATTGCGAACAGAAAATTTTAAGAAATGGGAAATTAAAGAATCGAAAAATTGAAAAATTAAAAATGGTAAACTCGAGAGGAAGTAAATTCTGCAGCACCAAATCTTTAAAAAATGTACTTACTAAATTTCTAAAATCGTCATTTTTGAAAAAATCGTCTAAAAATTCTCAAAAAATTCAGAGTTATAGATCATGACGTACTTACTAATTCCAAAAATTTAACGTGTTTAGGGTCACGAAGCAATATTTTCGAAATATTCAGTGTGAAATTCGAATTTTTTGAAATTTCTAAAAATTACGAATTCTGGAAAAACGGTTGGAGTTGCGCGGCCCGAAATATACAAGAAAATGTATTTAGTGGGTCGAAATTTGCATAAGGAGGGTATAAGATAACTCATCAGTAAGACAAAATTTGAAAATATTTTAAAATTGAAAATCGAAAAATTAAAAAATCTAAATTTGAAAAACCGAATCGAAAATTTGAAAAATTCAAATTAGAAAATTTAAACATTAAATAAAAGGAAAATTATAAACTCAGGAATATTGAAAAACCGAAAAACTGAAAAAATAAAGAGAATAAAACACCGAAACGAAAAATTGCAAATCTAAAAATAGAAGAGATGAAGAATCGAAAAATCGAAAAATTCAAACATCCAGAAGTTGGAAAAACGAAAGTCTGAAAAATTTAACAATGAAAACTCGGAGAAACAAAAATAATAAAAAATAAAATTTGCAATTCGAAAAATTTGAAAAAAATCGGAACAAACAAAATTGTCAAAATAAAGAAAATTAAAATCGAAAGGAAAAATTGGGAATCTAAAATTTGAAGTAAAGAAAAATAAAAGAAACGGAAAATTAAAAATCAAAAGATTGAAAAATCGAATAAATGAAAAAGTTTTAACATCCAATCATTGAAAAATGGAAAATTCTAAAATTGTAAAATTGAAAAAGTGAAAATTTTTTTAAATTATAATTATAATTACATCGTTAAAATGGAAACTAGAAAAATGGCAAATAAAAAATTGAAAAATCGTGAAACTGAAAACATAAATCAAATAAAAAACTGGAACGAAAAATTGCAAATCGAAAAATGGAAGAATTGAAGAATGAAAAACTGCAACATCCTAAAGTTAGAAAATTGAAAACTGAAAAATTTAACAATGAAAACTTGAAAAACAAAAAAAATTGAAAAACTGCAAATCGAATTTTTTTAAAAAACTTAAACTGAAGAAACAAAAATTCAAATTGTAAAAATAAAGAAAATAAAACATCGAAAGGGAAAACTGCGAATCGAAAATTTGAAGAAATCAAAAATTAAAAAATCGAAAAATTGAAAACTCCAGAAATTTTAAATCGAAAAATTGCAAGATCTGAAAATTGAAAATTCAACAATTGAAAAATTTCACATTGGAAAAATAAAAATTATAAAATCAGAACATTGAGACACCGAAAAATTATGAAAAAAGAAAATAAAAACCGAAGCGAAAAATTGCCAATCGAAAAATTGCGAACCGAAAATTTGAAGAAATGGGAAATTAAAGAATCGAAAATTTGCAAATAAAATATTTTTGCATAATAAAAAATATTTTTTGAAATTTTCAAAAATTACGATATTTCAATGAGCAATCCTGGAAAAACGGTTGAAATTGTCGAACAAATGAGGCCGAAAGTGACTTCTGCGGCCTAAAATCTACAAGAGAATGTGTTTAGTTAAATTTCGAAAATCGTCGAAAGTGTGTCGAAATTTGTATACATAGTGGAAAGTTTCATTTTTCAAAAAGTCTAAAAATTCTCAAAAAATTCAGGGTCATAAATCTTGACGTACTGATTCCAAACATATAGCATGATTTGTTAAACGAGGAAATTTAGTGTTGCTTTTAATTCTCTTCTAAGGAAGTATTGTAATAGGGTCCATCCGACGACTAGCTACTAAGTTTTTCAATGTTTTATAACCCCTAGAGTGCGAGAAAAGGTTCCCGTTTCCGTCTGGCTGTGACCTGTCTGTATTGATTTTTATTAGACAGAAAATTTCCAAAACTGTCGGACCGATTCTTGTAAAATTTTACATGTATTTTAGGAGTATCCTGTCGATGATTAAACGCTAACCAAAATTTAGCTAATTTTCACCACCTACAATTTGATACATTAAAATTATTTTTCCACCATTTTCAATACAGTTGAACTTCTTCCTTTAAGAGTGTTTGGTTTTTCTTGCTTCTCGAAATTTTGAACCATGAATGGACCATGAATTATTTCTTTTTGGAAAAGTATTTTTTCCAGCAATGTTCACACTGTTTTGACCGTAATCTTTATAAAAATACCTTGATTTCAGATTTAACAGTTATTCTTTTTAATTACCACTTTAATATTCAACTTAGAATAGTGTCCAAAAAGACTCATTTTGAAAAAGCCACTAAAAAACGAACAATTTGACAGGAATTTTTATTTTTATTTATGATGTAATTGCATCACTGTGTATTTTTATTTACCTGACGGTTTCAATCTATAATACAACATAAACGCTGATTAAGCAGTGTTTTTCTTCTTACCTGGAACAGTGAAATCACCTCATGAATGTACATGTTTATTTAAATTTAAACTATTAAGATTCTCTTATGCTAAAAAATATGTTTTAAACCACAGTTTACATGCCTTGCAACACGTAAAGTTGTAAATGAAGCAATAAATAGTAGTATAAAAAAGATGACAAAGTAAAAAGTTAGTGGAGACGCTAACATGTCTTCGTTTACAGAGTTGGTAGCACTTTTTTTAACAGTTCTTACATTAGAAAGTGCTGCGAACCCTGGCCCACCACGTATGTATTTTTTTAATTTTAAAAAAGAACTAATTTACTTTCTATTTTAGGTTGTTATATCAATCTGGTGGACAACCCTGATAACGCCTCCCCTTTGATAGTGGACAGCCACTACAATTTTCCTACCCCAAATAATGGAACCCTTTTGTCAACGATGACTGGACAAGTACTTTACTGGGCATGCCCTGGAGGCTACTTCAACAAACCTGGTTTTAATGTCAACGGCCAAGTAGCATACTGTGGAGGTGGAACTTTCCACGACGGCCACGGATATCCCATATATTAGGAAAACGTTACCTGTACTTGAATAGACGCACTAAGACCACATCTGACGGAAATTCATACCAACCCCGACGTCTTATGTGAACTAGATTCCAGTAAACTCGTTAGAATAGGCTACAACGTCAACAATAACTTCGTCAAAGTACTGGATGTTTGCTTCCAAACAGACGTCAACATTCCTCTGTACACTAAATATACGTTAAGCAGATGGGCATCTTTGATACCAAATCACCGAAAACCACCAAGTCGGTATGTTTACGCCCTATCTACAATTCAGGTGGATGTGGCTAACGTGTACAACGACATCAACAGCAATCTAGACAATTTGGGACTTGGTAATTACGTTAATGATACGTTTTATTTGAGAAAAGGAAGTCTTGCGTCACAGTGGGACTTTCTTTACACGTATCAAAGAGACGCAACTTTTGATTTGACCAACGTGGCACCCCAATGGAACTCAGTTGGTAATGGTAACTGGGAGGCGATAATTTCAGGAGTTCAGAAGTTTTTACAAAATCAAGGGACTGGAGATGAAGCTAAAATTATCAGTGGAACGTTAAAAGTAGCGACTCTAACAAATTCATCTGGTTCGAATGTGGAACTTTATTTGTTGAATGGTCAAGTTCCAGTTCCAAGGTGGTTTTGGAAGTTGGTATATATTTCTGAGTTGAATGTTGGCGCTATATTTTTTGTGTATAATAATATAGTGAACCAAGAGTTATAAGGTTATATGGCCATCATAAAATCATCCCATTGTGTCGAAGTTAATTTGTTTACAATAGAAAAGGTTTTAGGGTCGTAAATAACGTGTCCACTGCAGCTCGACCGGCTCTCTGGTTTCGTTCAGGGGCGGCTTTCAGTGCTTTCACTAAATATGAAAATCCACCACTCCACTATTTCTTTACTACCTGCAGCCGCTGAGGGTTCCGAAATAACCACTCGCTTTGAAAGCCGGCCCTGTTAAATATGAGCAAGAAATGTTTAGAAGATGATTTATTGCCAACCGGTAAGCTTAGTGCGAACCACACAAAGGGGGTATTTATTTGCGGTTAACTACTTTTATGATGGCCATATAACCTTTTAGCTCTTGGTTCACTATATTTACCATGAGAAAAGTCAGGTGGATGCGGAGTTTTTTGCTGAAATATGTGTCAGGCATGTATTAGAGGAAGTGGTACCTGGGTGGGCACTATATGATATTAGAAATGATGATCAGACTAGAGGTTATACATATATTTGAGTTTTAAATGCTGCAGAAATCGTTGACCCTGTCATACATAAAATTGTTGTTAATTTTCTGGCAGAAGCTGGAGTTGAAGCACCTAATTTATTTTCAAATATTAAAGGTAAACTGCTACATTTTTTCACAATAATTCCTGTTCTAATGTTGCTTGTGTTCGTTGTGCAATATTATATATATCTAACGTAATTTTATATAATTTTTAGGGGCATTTTATATAATAAATAGATATTGTTACGATGATCGGTGATTAAAATCGGCGTGGGTAAAACTCAACAATTTATTTTCTAATAAATCTCCTTTCTGGCATAAATAACGCTCCCCCAGTTTTTTATTTACTTTAATTTTTCAATTATTTATTTTTTCTTTTGTTGTTTCTTCAGTTGTCTATTTGCAATTTTTCGAGTTTCAAAGTTTAAATTTTTCAGTTTTTCAATTTCTCAACTTTTGAATTTTTCAATTTTTCGATTCTTTGTTTTTCATTTTTTCAAATTTTCGATTTGCAAATTTTCAATATTTTATTATTCCTTGTTTCTTCAATTTTACGATAATGTAACTCTTCGAGCTTTTATTGTTAAATTTTTCAGCTTATCAATTTTCCAACTTAGATTTCGCAACGTTTTATTTTGTAATTTCACCAGTTTTCAATTTTTCGATCTGGAATATTTCGTTTCGTTTCTTATTTTCTTTATTTTTTCAATTTTTCAGTTTTTCAGTGTTCTGATTTTTTATTTTTCTTTTTTCGATGTAAAATTTTTCCATTGCTGAATTTTTAATTCTTAAATTTTGCAAATATTTAATCGATTTCAAATGTCTCTAGTTTTCAATTTTAATTTTTCTATTTTTCCATTTTTTAATTTTTCATTTCTTCAAATTTTCGGTTCACAATTTTTCCTTTCGGTTTTTTATTTTCTTAATTTTTACAGTTTGTCGATTTTTCAATGATATTTTCGTTTTTTCTGTTTTCGATTTGCTATTTGTCAATTTCATGTGTTTCGATTGTCCAACTTTCGGATGTTTCAATTTTTCGTTTCGGTTTTTTATTTTCTCTGTGATTTCAGTTTTTCGGTGTTTTACTTTTCTCATTTTATAATTTTTCTTTTTTTCGCTGTGAAAATTCTCTATTTTTGAATTTTTCAATTTTTCGATTCGGTTTTTCAGTGTAAGATTTTTCAGTTTCTCGGTTCAATTTTTCATTTCTTCAGTTTTCTGATTTGCAATTTTCTAGTTTTCATTTTAAAGATGTAATAATAATTATAATTTAAAAAAAATTTCACTTTGTCAATTTTACGATTTTAGAATTTGCCATTTTTCAATTATTGGATTTTAAAACTTTTTCCTTTATTCGATTTTTCAATTTTGTGATTTTTAAGTTTTCGATTTTTTAATTTTTATTTTCTTCAAATTTTCGATTCCCTATTTTTCGTTTCGATCGTTTATTTTCTTTATTTTGAAAATTCTTGGGTGTTCTGATATTTTAATTTTTTGTTTTTACAGTTTCAGATTGTTCAAATTTTTCAATTTACAATTTTTCAATGTTTTATTTTTTTGTTTCTTCGAGCTTTTATTGTTAAATTTTTCAGTTTTTCGATTTGCAATTTTTTTTGGGGTTTTTATTTCCTTAGTGATTTCAGTTTTTCGGTTTTTTACTTTTCTCATTTTATAATTTTTCTTTTTTTCAGTGTGCAAATTCTGTTACTGAATTTTTCAATTTTTCGATTCGGTTTTTCAGTGTTAGATTTTTCAGTTCCTCGGTTCAATTTTTCATTTCTTCAATTTTTTGATTTGCAATTTTCTAGTTTTCACTTTAAAGATATAATAATAATTATAACAAAAAATTTTTCACTTTGTCAATTTTACGGTTTTTGAATTTTCCATTTTTCAATTATTGGATTTTGAAACTTTTTCGTTTATTCGATTTTTCAATTTTTTGGTTTTTAATTTTTCGATTTTTTAATTTTTATTTTATTCAAATTTTCGATTCCCTATTTTTCTTTTCGATTGTTTATTTTCTTTATTTTGACAATTCTTAGATGTTCTGATATTTTAATTTTTTGTTTTTACAGTTTCATATTTGTTCAAATTTTTCAATTTACAATTTTTCAATTTTTTATTTTTTTGTTTCTTCGAGCTTTTTTTGTTAAATTTTTCAGTTTTTCGATTTGCAATTTTTCTTTTCGGTTTTTTATTTCCTTAGTGATTTCAGTTTTTCGGTTTTTTACTTTTCTCATTTTATAAATTTCTTTTTTTTCAATGTGAAAATTCTCTGTTACTGAATTTTTCAATTTTTCGATTCGGTTTTTCAGTGTTAGATTTTTCAGTTTCTCGGTTTTTCAATTTTTCATTTCTTCAATTTTTTGTTTTTCTAGTTTTCATTTTAAAGATGTAATAATAATTATAATTAAACAATTTTCACTTTGTCAATTTTACGATTTTTGAATTTTCCATTTTTCAATTATTGGAATTTGAAACTTTTTCCTTTATTCGATTTTTCAATTTTTTGACTTTTAATTTTTCGATTGTTTATTTTCTCTATTTTGACAATTTTTGGCTGTTCTGATATTTTAATATTTTGTTTTTACAGTTTCAGATTTTTTTCAAATTTTTCGACTTACAATTTTTCAATTTTTAATTTTTTTGTTTCTTCGATTTTTCAACTTTGGAATGTTTCTATTTTTAAATTTGCATTTTTCGTTTCGGTTTTTTATTTTGTTATGACTTCAGTTTTTCGGTTTTTCAGTTTTCTCACTATATAATTTTTCCTTTTTTCAATGTAAAAATTTTGTATTTTTGGATTTTTCAATTTTTTAACTTGGTTTAGATTTTTTGATTTTTCGTTTTTCAATTTTAGATATTTCAGTTTCTCGGTTTTTCAATTTTTCATTTCTTCAATTTATTGATTTGCAATTTTCTAATTCTCATTTTAAAAAGGTAATAATAATTATAGTTAATTTTAAAAATTTTTCAATTTTAAGATTTTAGATTTTCCATTTTTTAATTATTGTATTTTAAAACTTTTTCATTTATGCGATTTTTCAAATTTTTCGATTTTTAATTTTTGAATTTCTGCCTATTTAATTTTTCAATTTTTCCATCTTTCACTGTTAACAATTTTTCGACTTACAATTTTGATGATTTTTTTCGATAATACAATTTTTTTGTTTTCCAGTTTTCCGATTAATTAATTTGTTTCGATTTTCAGTTTTTCAATGTTTCAACTTTTCCTTTCTCCAGTTCTTCGATTTTACAATTTTTGGTTTTTTGTTTTTTGTGAAAAAGTATAAAATGAAAACTTTGAAAAATCTAAAAATTGGAAATCAAGAACTTGAAAAATTGACAAATTCAAAAATCGAAAAAGCACAAAATCGAAGAAACGAAATACTGTAAAATCTAAAAATTGAGAATTAAAGAAATCGGAAAATCGGATAATTGAGAAATCCAAAAACATTGAGAAAATAATGGCAATGAAAAAACGAAAATTGTGATCTAAAATCGAGAAAATGAAAACTATAAATCGGAAATATGAAAAATAAAAATCCTCCAAGTTTACGTTCAGGAATTTAGAATAATAATAAGTGTATTCGTCCTGCGCCTCGTGAGTAACTCCAGCCACTTATAAAATCATATTCTGTCGGCTCTCACTACAGTTATCATCACCAATTCTTCTACCAATAATTCTATACGATATCTACTAATTTTAACTCCCCGCTTCGTCCACCCAAAAATGACACCCTTTTCCTTTTCCTTCTCCTATTTCTTCACCGAAAACCGCCTTCACTCCGTCCGCCCCCATCGAAATTCGCCGCTTCCGCCCTGTCTCCGACCTGCAGTCACCCGTTATCGTCATGGATACGTTTACAACGGCTTCCCAACAATCCGTCGCCTCGTTTTCCCGTCAGTCCGGCACGAAAATGTAAATAATTCACAAAAACGAGAGGAAAATGTGATCGGCAAGTGGGCGCACATCGCAATGACGTTGACTTCAGTTGGAAAGAGAGTGACGTGTGGCGGTGCGGCCTTCTTTTCGGTTTCTGGCGGGAAGTGCAAGTGAAGTGCGAGAAAATGACGTCAAAGGCGGAGATGTTCCGAAGGCCGACCATTCGGCCGAAGGATGTTCTGGAGGTGGATCGGGGAGTTCTGCAGGAGGTGAACGTGGTCTCGGAAGGCCAGGTTGCTTACACGTTTGCGAGTTCGCCTAGGGCACTGTATACCAACAAGAAGATGATCAGCGGGAGGTAAGGAGGGAGGGTTGGGATTTGGCGGATGCGCCGAGGTAGTTGTAGCAACGGGTGCAACTGGGTGTACGAGGGTAGGTTGAAAAGTTTTGGGGTGGTGTATTATTCATTCACGATCTTTATATAGTAAAGTAGGCTGTCAGTAGTCTGACTGACATTTGCTTTGAGCTGGATTGCCACTTTTCTACTTCATTTATTAGGTCAGAATTATTAGACGCAAATTTTTAATCAAGCAAACAAATGTTTTCA